GGGGGTGCCTACCTCCACGGGGGCCCCAGCGGGGGGCAGGTGCAGCTCCCGGGGCAGGCGGCACGTCACCTCGTTGTTCAGGACGTTGGGGTGGCAGTCCCGGCCCCCCACTGTCATGGTGATGTTCATGCAGGTGGCCAAGGCATTCAGGCCCGCTTGCTGCCCAGACACAGAGCCCTAAGCTTGGGGGTCCTGGCGGTGGGACCCCCTGCCCTGGCTCACCCCACTGCCCCCACGTACGTGCACCTCGATCTCATCATCACCAGGTTTGAGGCGGAAGCGCCCGCCCTCCTGCTTCAAGGGGAAGATCTTGGGCTGGGAGTGGTAGTGGAGGTGGAAGAGCCAGTGGCCGTCAGCGCCGTCCAGCAGCACGCTCAGGTTCCCCAGCACATCGACCTTGCTCTTGAAGGGGAAGGCTGGACTGCGGCACAGCAGCCGCTCTGGTGCCAGCGGGTCCTCACACTCCTGCAGGCAGGGGGATGCTGGGCACTGGCACAGAATGATGCCCACCAGGGGACTGGGGTGGGCAGGGCAGGGTTAGGGGGTGATGGCCTCCCACCCAGGTGCTTACTGTGGCTTTGGTAATCACACCTCTGGCTTCAAAGCGGATCTTGGCGCGATACACAGAGTCCAGGTGGGTGCCGATGATGGTGAGCATCGAGCCCCTACGACGGGCAGGTATCAGGGCCCCAGGGTGTATATCATCCCCAGGGTGCATGTGGTCCCTGGGGTGCACGTGGTCCCCAAGGTGTGTGTGGTGCCTGGGGTGCATGCGATCCCCAGCAGCTCATCCAGGCCAGCCAGCACAGTGGGAAGCCAGGAATGTCCCCCCACCCAAGGGAAGGGAGCCCTTGGACTTACTCATAGCTGCAGTTGGGGATGATAGCCAACACAGAGGGGTCAGGGCGGTACTGGAATGGCAGCGGGGCTGGGAACACCTCCCCATCGATCCACAGGGCCACCCAGGCTGCACCCAGGCCACTGGCAGCAGGAGCCGTGCATTGAATTGTCCCGTTGTCACTGGGGATGCAGCAACCATGTTGGGGGGGACAGCAGGACTGCAGGGGTTCCCTGTGCTGGTTCCCATGCCAGGGACCCCACTGTGCTTGCTGGTGGGGGCAGGGCAGGGGCATACCTGGGCTGCCCGGTCAGGGCACACTCAGAGCCATTGACCATCACCCTCCAGCTGCTCCCTGAGGAGAGGTGGGCGCCATGGAGTGAGAGGTGGGTGCCACCCCCCTGGGGGCCAAACGGGGGGTGCAGGGCTCTGATGCGTGGCTCCTGAGCAGAGATGGGGTAAGTGGAATGGGTGGCAGGGTGATCCAAACCCCTCAAACCCTGCCAGGGGGCAGCTGGGGTGACTGCCAGTGCAGGACCATACCACGAAGATGAAGCCACCAAGGGCAGAGGAGCCTTGGACATGGAAGCCAGAGGGTCTGGCGGGCTCCTCCACAGTGAGCACCACGTTGGCTGGGCCCCTCGCTGCTGCCAGCCCCCCGGGCTCCAGCTCACACACCAGCACGTCCACAAACTCCCTGCGGCGGGAGGTGGGCAGGGGTCTGCAGGACAGGGTTGGGGTTCAGGCCCAGGCCAGGGAGCAGCCCCCAAACCCTCTCTGCCACTGTTCCCTCCCAGCACCGGCACACACCTGTAGCTCTTGATCTCCTGTGGCAGCACGGTGCAGCCTCGCTGTCCCACTGTCACTCGGTAGGCAGCGGGGGGGCTGCGGCTGGGGTCGGGGTCCGAGTGGGAGCGGAAGGTCATGCCGCAGAGAGTGACCCGTGTCCGACCCCGCAGCGGGGCGCTCCGGGGGTGGAACTGTGGGAGAAGCACCCATGACACTGAGAGCCCTGACCAGCGATGGTTGCAGGTCCAGAAAGCCCCTTCCCTGAGGGACACAACACCCATCATGGGGAGGGGGTCCCACCACACACCACCCCATTTGCCACCTCCCTCCCCATCCGAGCGCGTGGGAGCTGTGGGCAGCAGGGGGACGGCGGAGCAGACCTACGTCAGTGAGGACGGGTGGGCAGCTGTCCTGGACCCAGGGGCCGGCACACTCGTGGCGGCGCATGCACGCCATCCCCACACCAGCCACATGCCCATTGAAGCGCTCGGCACGCAGCAGCGCTGGCAGTGAGAAGTGGCGGCAGCCGGGGCCGGTGACATTCAGGCGCCACACCTGGGGATGGAGAGTGGAAGTGAGGGGGGCATGTGGGGCTCAGTGCCTGCCCTATTCCCCCAGCCCCTCACTCACCTTGGTGCCCGCAGCGAAGAACAGCGAGTGGCTCTGTGACCCCATGGCACCCTGCACCGGCCCTGGCTCCCCCAGGGAGAAGTTGGCCATGGTCAGGAGGTAGGAGCTGGAGCGCTGGAGCACTATCTGCAGTGGGGCAGAATGTGGGGCTGAGTGCACCCCACAGCTCACTGGGACCCCCACCCCACCCAGCTCCTCATCTCACCTGGAAGATGCGTCCCTCTGCTGTGCCCAGGTGGGCCACAGTGACATTCCCCAGGGTGGTGACAAAGATGGAGGTGAGGAGGACATGGGCCAGGTGCCCGTTGAACAGGTCCACCTTGTGGGAGGCAGCGGGAACGAGGGTGGGCTGGTCCCAGCAGCTGGTGTTTATCACCGGAGCTGAGAGGTTCACCTACAGCCAAGCACAGGGTGGGTGCCTTGAAACTGGTCCTGGTAACCCGACTTCCCCACACTCTCATAGGTGGGTACCAGCTCCAGCTGTGAGACATTTTGGGGCAGCACCAAACTGCTCAAGTTCCCCTCCAGGCTGGGAAAACTTTGGGGAAAAAAACACATCCGCAGCCACTCCTGCAACCCTCGTGTGGCGTCAGATCCTGTCCTCCCCTCCCACTCCATCTGGATGTGGTTATCGGGTGCCGGCATTATGGGATGCACACCCCAACCCCAGCCCTCCCTGGCCCCTGGAGCTTGGGGGGGGTGTGGGGTTGAAGGAGGACACCAGGAGCCACGGTGTCCCCACTGGACACCCCTGATAAACGGGGTTGGGGTCCCCCCTGGGCTCGCCCTGCTGCAGAGTGAGTCAGCGGCAGTGAGCTGTCTGCTCCGTGTGGGAAGAGGAGGGGATTTGGCTGCACCTTGCCCCGTGCCTGGCTGAGAACACCAAAACTCACATCACGTGCTGGGACGAGGGGGCCCTGCTGGGGCGCCCACCCATTTGTGTCCTGGCCATGCCGGGGCTTGTACCTGGGACACGGTGTTCCTGCCCTGCGGCTGCGGCAGACGAGAAACCCCGGTGACTAATTGCACTTCCGCCTGTGGTTTATTTGCCCAGAGAAGGCGGTGGCTGAGCCCGGGGGACAAGGCAGGAGTAGCCAGCACCTCACAGCACCTCACGCGTCCACTCTGGGGACCACCGAGGCCCCGCAGCTTCCCTGTCCGTCCTCCACATAAACAAGCTGGAGAGGTTGGCTGGGATCCAGGGACAGTCACCACGAGGGCTGGAGTCGGTGCTTGTGGGGAGGCCACACCAGGAGAGGGACTGTTAGCCCAGTGCAGGGCATGCAGCAGTGCGCCCATGTGCTGAGATGTGTTTGTGAGGTGGGGAGTTCAACCAGATCCCCACCAGCACCCCGTCTCCTCCTCGGTGCGGCCAGGCCTGCTGGAGCACAAAGGCCCCTGCAATAGGTGGTGGGTGGCTGCTGGGCTGACTCACAGCTGGGTGATGCTGCTCTCCCCCTGCCCTACCCCACCCCACCATCCACCCCGCTCTACCAGCGCTTCCCAGCATGCTGTCCCCATCTCCCCATGTCCCAGACGACCCCCAGGCCCCTCAGGCCGGACGTGGCGCAGGGCAGAGCACTCACGTTGTGTGGGCAGTACTCCACTGGCTGGAAGAAGCTGAGCCCCCGCAGCAGTGGCTGGTGTCCGATGCCACAGCACTTCTCCATGCCCTCCTCCATGGCCTGGTTGAGGAGGCGGATTGGGAAGGCACAGACAGCTGAGTTCTCCCGTGGCACCAGGCTCTCCGGCTGGCTCTCGGCGAAGGCACCGAAGAGCACCGTGTCGGTGTCATTGATGCCGAGGTCACGGGCCAAGTGGGCACCAGGGCGGGCAGTGTGGGCTGCCTGCAGCACGTTGTAGGCAACATCCCGCTCAGCATCCTCCTCGCCGCTGCGCCGCCGGCGCCGGCGCTTGGACTCGAAGCGGCAGTCGAGGACGAGCTCGCGGTAGCGACGGAGGTCACGCTCGTGGGTGCTGAGCCGTGCCAGGCGTGTGTGGTACACGGTCGAGCCCGGCCGCTCCAGCTGCACCATCAGGAAGTAGACGTGGTCCCCGTCGGCAAAGGAGTGCACATAGTGGATGGTGTAGTTGTCGCGGTATCGCGGCAGCACCGTCAGCCACTGGAAATCACCCGAAAAGCCGTCCAAGGTGCCCTTCAGTCTGCGGACGGACACCGACTGTGGGCTGTACTGGGCTGCCACGCTGCTGTTGATGGTGGAGCCGAGGTAGAAGAAAGAGGCATAGGAGGTGGCCACCACGGTAGCACTGGTCCCCAGGGGGCTGGCCACGCAGTCGGGGCACAATGTGGGGCTGTTGCCCGTGGCCGAGTACAGGCAGTGTGTGGCTGTGATGGCCACCTTACCATCCCGCACCTCCAGCTGGTGCTGGTAGCACAGCCCATGCCGTGCTGTGCCACAGCTGTACAGCCACGGCTCCAGTGGGTCCAGCAGCAGCAGGACATTGTCCGTGTCCTCAGGGCCATCTGTGGTGGCTGGGCACAGGTGACAGATCTCACACTTGGCGCTGCCCACCGGGCCGGTGACAAGGACGGAGAGGAGTTGCATCTCGGCACTGGCCAGCAGGATGCGGTTACGGACGGCCACAAAGACGGCGACCGTACCATCAGAGTCAGCAAAGACAGCAATGTTCTGGATGGGGCTGCCAGCGTCGAGGCCAGGCAGCGTGTAGGGGACAGAGAAGTTCCTGGTGGAGCTGAATGGGATGTAGGGGCACTGCCAGGCACCGGCGCCCAGCGGGACCAGGGCGAGCACCAGCCAGAGGCACACGAGGCACAACAGGCCCATGCTGTGCAGTGCCACTGCTGTGAGGTTATTGATGGTGCTCAGCACCCAGTGGGGTCGGAACACACAGAGGATGGGCCACCATCACATCTGCCAAAATAAAGGAGGAAGGGTTTTACCCACTGCTTTAAGGCAAGGACCCTGGGCACTGCCACAGCTGGGTGTGCTGGTGTCCCCAGGGGCCAGATGATGAGGGGTGCTGCCAGGAGAGGACTGGCCACACCAAACCTCTTCCCAAATATCATGATCGACAGGTGAAGCCAAGCTTCCTGTGGCATGGGGACAAATCCTGCCTTCTGCCACCTCCAGACCCCGCCTGTCATCCTGGGGCACCCCTGCCCTGCAATGACCCCTCCCAGGAACTGGGATGGGTACCCTGCCAGGCCCCCAGGACAGCGACGGGAACCGGGGATCCCCGCGGGACTGGGACAAGGCCCCCGCCAGCCTCCCGAGACAGGGACCCCGACGTTACTCCCGGTCTCCACCCGGCCCCGCCGCGACTCACCGGGTCCGGAGTCCTCGTTAGGTCCGTCTGCCCCCCCCCACGTCCGTGCGGTGCGGTCCGATCCCGAGGTGCCAGGCGGCGTGGGGCTCACCTGGGCGCTGCCGTGCCGTGCCGTGCCAGGGCAGGGCGGGCGGAGCGGAGCGGGGCCGGGATGGAGCAGGCGAGGTGGGACGGGGCGGGGCGAGGCGGGACGGCACAGAGCGGAACGGGGCGGGCGGGTCCTGCCCCCGCCCCGCCGGGGGCTCCCCGAGGGCCGGCACAGCCACGGGCAGCCCGGGGGCACGGGGGTGCTCGGGAACACGCAGCTCGGGGTGCCCGCTGAGCACCTCGGGGGGACAGACATGGGTGGGCACGGTGCCAGAGAGCGACACGGATGGGAGCAGAGGCCCTTGACCGGGACAGGGGGCAGGGCTGGCGCGGCGCCTGGGGTGCCCACCGCAGGTCGGGGTGGCCGTCGGATGGCTGGGAGGCGGCTGCCGGCATCCCGGGGCACGGGTGGGGTTGGTACCCTCGGCATGTTGGTACCCTCGCCCACAGATTCCAGCTCCCTTGCCATAGGGACGGTCTACACCCTGACACATGGAATCGAACTTGTCGCTTCCCCAAAGCTCCCGCTCTAGCACCGCGTTTGCTGCTCACTTCCAGGCGAACGGGGCAGCCTTTGCGGGGTGTGGCAGGCTCAGAACCAGGGTTCCAAGCCGGGGAACAAGAGCAGGGCTGAGGCAGCCAAAGTTTTGCGAGGGCAGCCGTGGGGGTTAATTCTGTTGTGCCCACTCTCTTTCTCATGTCCCTTTCCTCCCCGCGGTGGCAGGAAGTGCCAGCACTACACTTCCAGGGATGCAGGAAGATGCTTTATATCCCGGTCCATACGTGGATTTGCCCTCCAAGTGCCCTGCTGCCCTCGGACCCTGGGGCTGCGGATCCCTTTGCACATGGACTTCTCCTTCAGCTGAGCAGGGCGCTGCCTCACGCAGCCGGGGACTTTGGTCCTGAACACTCCGAAAATGAGCCCTCCTGTCCCTGCCACCTGGCCGGCCCCGGCCCTCCCAGGCTCCCGCCCCGCGTTGTGCAAGGCTCGGCAGTTCCGTTGGCCCCGGGCCTTACTCAACAGCTCCTTCCTCCGGCTGCGCCTCTCGGCTCGGTTTCGACATGAGCTGGCCCCGGCCAGCTCAGCCCGGGGATTTCGCCGCTCCCAGTCTCCAGCCAGCGCCGCCTCCTGCCAGCACAGCCCCGGCGGCCTCACGCCGCTCCCGGCCAGCTTTCCTGGCTCCCAGCGGGTCCCCAGGGCTGGACTGAACAGTATCCAATCTTGGACCAAACTTCCCCCTCAGCTTGGTCATCCCCCCACTCCAGCAGACAAAAACGAATGCGACAAGTCTTGACTTAGGGTCCATATAATGTTTATGAGCAAAGACAAGCGATTACACTCTGGCAGGAGGATAAACACAGGAGCAGATCCCTGTGCTAGCCCTGCCGGGTCCTTCTCAGCTCCTTTGCTGTCAGAGTGCCATCCTCAAACACCTGCCCCAGCACTACCCAGACAGCCCCAAAACATGGAGTTCACAGATGCTCAGCCCCACACCAGTGCCTGGGGATGTCTGGGGAGTAGGTGGCCCCTGTGCAGCAAGCTCAGCATAACTGGCTCAAGGGGCTGGGTTTGGGGCAGGTGCTCCTGTGCCAAGGGGAAGACCCTCCTTGGGCTGGGGGGCACCAGGGCCCTGTGCCGGCGGGGTCTCCCAGGGGCTGTGCTTGAGCTGCCCATTTAGGGTTCACTACCCAGAGCCAGCACCATGAGCCCACAAACACCCTGATGGACACCTTGGCACCCCAGATCTCTCTGGAGCTCCTCTGTGTCCTCATGGGGAGGTGGGCAGGACCCTGCTGTCCCAGCTGAGGCAGGCTGACCCACCCTGCCTGCCAGCATCCCCAGGGACATCCTTTTCACAGCCACAGTGGGAAGGGTCAGGGCTCATACAGATGCCAAAGGGGCAAACCTGCAGTGGGACTGCCAGGGACTCCCTGGCACTTGGGAGGTCCAGCTCCCCCAGGGCAGGAAGAGCAGTGTGTGCCCCAGACCAGCCCTGTCCCCTGCCTGGGTAGTGTCACCCACCATCTGCGGGCACAGCAGCACTGGGGTTCCCACCTCTCCCCTGGGGACCCTCACCCTTGGCACAGCCACAGGATGCCAGAGGAGATGGCAGGCACAGGCAGCAGGACCTGGGGGCTCTGCTCCTCTGCTCCCCTCCAGCAACCCAGGGTACCAAGCAGCCCCACTCCAGGGACAGAGCCGGGGGACCACAGAGGAAGGGCAGCCCCCCAGCTGGGGCACTGCCTGCAGCTGAGAAAGTCCTGCTCACCCCTTTCCCTTCCCCCGTGCACCCCACCTCTCTAACATTCGGGTTGGACAGTCCCACAGGGGGGTTTCTCTGTGCTCTGGGATCCCACCATGCCCTCTCCCCCAGACACATGGCCTGGGAATCCCTGGGAATGGGCTCCCCAGCACAGCGGGGGCTCTCTCCCAGCTGGCAGCACGCCCAGGGTGATGCCCATCAGTATGTCTGGGGTGTGAGGATGAAGAGTCGGTCTTCCTCCTTGCGGATCCACTTCATGAGCTTGTTGACAGCACTGATGGCACCGGCCTTGGTCCCCAGGGGACTGTAGCATACATAGAGCTCAAAGGCGTTGGTTACCTGGGAGAAGGAATGGGATACGTGCTGGGAACAGGACTGTGCACCACTTGGAGCTGGCATTGCATCTTCCCACCATGGGCTACTGGGAATAGGCACAGGAGCTCCAGTGCAGGGACATGAGGTGGTACCCTAAATGGGTGGCATCTGGTTTGCTCAGAAGTGGGAGGACCAAACCCCGGAGTTTGCACCCAGAGTGGGTTTTCTCCACAGCACTGAGTTCATGACAGCACATAGCACAGCCCTTGGTGCCGAAATTCACCAGCTCCTGCTGCTACCCCTGCCCGTCCCTCCCTCACACTGGGGCAAGCTCACCCCCAAACAGGCTGGAGGCCTCCCTGGGGACCATGGAGCTGGTGCTGTGTCCTGCCACCACCCCCTTTTCCCGCCACACAAGACCAGGAAAGACAGGCTCACCAAAAGCCACTGACAGCCTTACCCACGCCAGGAGGTTCTCTCGGGGGCCCGTGAAGTAGATGTTCTTCAGGGGCCGTGAAGAGTTGTGGGCCCGGCTGTGCAGGTACTGGTAGAGCCCCAAGAGCCTCTCCTTCTCCTCCTCCTGCACGTAGGGAGCCTCAATCTCGGGGCTGCAGGAACACGGCACCCCGTTAGCCCCCCGGAGAAGAGGCTTGGCCCATTCCATACGCCACAGCCTTGGCCTGATGGTTCCCCAGGGCCTCACCTGGTGAAGAGCCCAGAGCTCTTGGACTTGTAGATGAAGTGCCGGAGGTCGGGGATGCCCACCTGGGCGACGCTGTAGAAGGGGGTGCGCAGGGCCTCCTGCAGGGCGTGGTGCACCCCCCGCCGCCGCAGCCGCTCCTGGAAGCGCCGCTTGCAGTCGGACACGGTGAAGAAGTCCTCGCGGTCTGTGGAGACCAGCAGCAGGCACAGGTCCATCTCCTGCTCCAGGTAGGAGATGTGGGCATGGAAGAAGCCACTGGAGTTGAACTTGGGGAGGCAAATAGGAGTCCAGGCTTCACCCTCCCGAAAGGAGGAAGAAGAGCTGATGAGGTTGAAGAGCAAGTGGAGGTCAATGGGGTGGAGGAACTGATCTTTCTTCCTCACGAGAGACACCAGCTGGTTCCCAGAGAGGAGAATGGAGAAGACCAGGCTCTTGGCCTTGGCCTGCTGCAGGCTGCTGCTGACAGCATCCCGGACGCTGGCAGCCAGGGGCAGGCAGCGCACGGCACCCATCAGGAAGCTGGGGTCGTGGGCCATGAGGTCCAGCAGGTTGTCGGTGATGCGCTCGGAGCCGGCCAGGAGCCGGCGCAGGTCATAGTTCTGCTTCTGCTGGAAGATGTGGTTCAGCTGGGTCCAGGTGAGCAGGCTCAGGATCTGATAGTAGATGTAGAGCAGCTCGTGGGCGATCTCCTGCTCCGACTGCCGGGTGCGTGCCACTGCCACCAGCACCAGCGGGCTCCTCCGCACGAACACCACCTTGTAGCCATCTGCTTGGGAGCGAGTCCCCGGGGGTGGGCAGGGACAGACCTGTAAGCCTGGCTTCCCAGGGCTACAGCTCTCCCCCCAGCACCAATGTGCCCCTGGGGACAGCTAACGTGGCCCAGGGCAGCAGGTGCACAGATACACAGGTCGTGAACCCCCCATCTCATTCCCCCCCCAAGGGCTGTACCTGCATGGATGGACCGGATGGCATTTTTCTCGGCCTCCAGGAAGGACACCAGGGCCATCATGACGCCCATGGTGCTGGACAGGGCCTCCTCAGAGCCGTAGCGGGAATACACGGGCTTGCCTGCCTCGCTCAGCACGAAGACGTGCTTGCGGTGCATGCGCCAGGCGTCCATGGTCACGTCCTCCTCCT